CCACCTTAGGTGCCTTAGCCACTTGAACCACAGGCACTGAGCCCCCTTTGCCATTTCTTATGTGGCAGCTTTTAGCATCTGTTCATCATGATAAATATTTATTTTTTTTCTCCTTTAGAATGGCAGTTTTGCCAAACATCATACATGTGCTTTGAAGTTTTTGTTCTTTCAGCACTTTGATTATATCACCCATCTTTTTGACACGGAAGGTTTGTGTTCTTTACTCCACTAGTAATCTCACAGGAACATGCTTAGGGATGACATGTCTGTTTTCTCTTGCTGCTTTTAAGATTCTCTTCTTCTCTGTGACTTTCAATCCTTGATCTTCATCTGTCTTCTAATAGGACTCTTTGTGTTTCCCCTTGCTAGAGTATGGTGAACTTCGTGACATTTTATATCTTTTTTTCTTACATTTAAGACTATTCGGTCATTTTCATTGTGTTCTTGTTCTTCAGAATTTCTGTTTATGTATGCTGTTGTTTCTTTGCCTAACTTCATTTTTGTGATGTTACTTAGTTATCTGTATCATTCCCATTTGACCCATTTAGCACTATTCAGATAACATTAAGGTAATTTTAACATCTTTATATTTTCGGGTGGATTCCAGATTATTTCTTCTGTTTCTTTGAGTTATATCACACTAGATTTTATATATGTTAGAGTTTTTCACTGCTTTTGAGGATGAGAAAAGCCACCTTTCACCAACTTTGTGATATGTTTTAATCTTGCAAGACATTCTGACAGTGTTCTGCCTGTGGAAGTGTGTGCTTATTTTTTAGTTGAACCATTTTCCCATATTTCCCCTTAAGAGCTTGTGATCACTTGCTAGACCTAAATCTGTCTGTTCTCTTGGAGTCTCTCTGCTGCTGTAACAATAAGTTACCTTTGGTTTCAGCACCTCCAGTTGCTCTTATAGACTAGCATGACTCCATTCAGACCCTCGATCATGGGAGACAGTAACTTTTCTCTGGAAAGGCCCTGCAAACAAGAAGGATTAACAGTGGTGTCACTCTTTTTCTTTTGAGGATAAAACTGGGATTTGGGAGTTTACTTCAGTTTTCACCATGCTCTATTATGATGGGGTATAAAGTCTGTGGTGGGTAAATATGACAAACTTCTTTCTATTCTATTTGTCTCTTTTTGTTATTACTAATATATATTACATATATAAAAATATATATATATTTCTTTTTTTTTTTTAGAGACAGAGTCTTTGTCCCCCTTAGTAGAGTGCTGTGGTGTCACAGCTCACAGCAACCTCCAAGTTCTTGGCTTAGGTGATTATCTTACCTCAGCCTCCTGAGTAGCTGGGACTATAGGTGCCTACCACAGTACCTGGCTATGTTATTATTAATATTTACTAGCTTTTTCTTTTTTATACTTTATGTGCACACACAAATTTATTTATCTGTTTATTTATTATTTGGAACTAGTTTCTGTCACCCTGCGTGGAGTGCTATGTTGTCATCACTTACAGCTGCCTCAATATTCTAGGCTGAAGAGTTCTTCTTGCCTAACCCTCATGAGTTGCTGGGATTACAGGCATGTGCCACCATGCCTGACTACTATTTATGAAAGAAATGTGGTTTACTCTTGCTTAGGTTGATCTTAAAGACCTGTGCTCTATTGATCCACTCACCTCAGTCTCCCAGAGTTCTAGGATTACAAACATGAGCCAGTGCATCCAGGCTCTGTGGTGTCTCTATGACTTCTGTTCACCTGCTGTGCTGCAACTTCCTGCATATAATATTTATTTACCCCTAAGATAATTTATGCCTGTGTAACTTCCTAATGATCTTGGCACAATTTTGCAGATAAAATGTGTAATGTATTTACTCCATTCTGATAAAAAGTCAGTGGCTAAATGGCTCTTGTTTAAATTTCTTTCAGCTGTATCTGACCCTCCTGAGCAAGACCATTTGCAAGATCTAGACACAAATATTTTATTCCCAGAGATAATCCTGAGAAGATATCAAAACTGTGCCCCTGACAATTTAAACTTAACAGAAGACTGGGCAAGTGTGCCTGAGTGTAATCACCAGAAAGTATGTGACAGTGGACTTGACAGCAGTTTAACACCTGCCTATACCAAAACCTTACAATGTAGTAAATGTTTGAAAGTCAAACCCTGGAAATGTCAAGAATGTGGGAAAGCCTTTAACCACTACTCAACCCTGTCTAGCCATCAACGCATTCATTCTGGAGAGAGACCCTACAAATGTCAAGAATGTGGCAAAGCCTTTACTCTTAGTTCTAGCCTTACTAAGCATCAAAGAATTCATTCTGGAGAGAAACCCTACAAATGTCAAGAATGTGGCAAAGCCTTTAACCAGTACTCAACCCTGTATAGACATCAAAGCATTCATTCTGGAGAGAAACCCTTCAAATGTCAAGAATGTGGCAAA